ATTCAGAGGCCGGTTTACAATATCTCGCCCAACATAGTTTGTCAGAGTTCTATAAATCCCACAGTCATTAGAGGCCGGTAATATAGGAATGACAGGTGCATAATATGTGTGCCAGTCACCTTGGCATTGACCAACCTTATGCTCTGACAATTAACCTAAATTGATTGATGAAATGTTTGAGAGCAGTTTCAGGTTTCAGTGGTGGTGTCCCCAGTATTGGAGTAGAGCTCAAATTTCAGTTAGATATATTATTTGTGATTGTTGTGAACCTTCTCACTTAGATAATTTGTGATATATTGTAATTAAATGTAAAATGAAACTTTGGGGAGTTAAGAAATACAATTAATTGACAAGACTGTCCCCTTGACAAGTAAAATTGTCAGGCATTAGACTGCCTGAGTAAAATAATAAGCATGGGTGCAATTAACTGCTGTAGGCTTTAAAGTTGGTTGCAAGCTTTAAAGTTGGTTGCAAGCTAGCTGGGCTTATAAATGCCAGAACTCATATGTGAAAAATGCTTGGATCAATTTATTTCATCCGTAATGAACCCATTTTTAATCCTTTAAGTGGCAGTGCGCCCTACTACAATATTTTACTCCGTCCAATGCCAGACGATTTTACTCGTCAAGTTGAGAGTGCTGCCCCTCAATGGGTTCAGTTGCATTGCATCCTACTGTATATGTTCGTGTTACTTTGTCTAACGCCAACAATTTTACTTGTCAACAAGAGAGCACAGTGGTACGTGCTGAATGGGTTAACATATAAATAATGTCTACTCTACAGTAAATTTCCCTGTAATTGAACTTTGGAGCCTGGTATATGTGACTCACTATTTCTTCAAAGTGTGTTCTAATGATACTAGCTGTCACTATTTTATAAATATAATTGACATTTCTCATTTAGGGTGATCCGGGATGTAAGTCATGTGGACAAGTTCTTTGGAATGTTCAAATAACAAGAATAGTGGTGTTATGGTAGTGGTGGCACTTGCCAGACCTACCGTAACTGGAAAAACTAACAATGACTTTTCTCCAAAGTCTTATATCAGGCTTTTTTTTAACCTGAGTATCAGGCCGTACTTTTTAGAGCACAGACACGCCTGATCGTGGGCGAAGGGGAGAAAAGTACGGCCTGACACAAAAGTGGCATTTTGCCTGGTTGTTCAGTCCAGAATCTGGACTGAGCGCTGATTGGCCGATTAGACAAACGATTTTTAAATCTGTCATTTGATTGGCTGGTGCTAATTAGATTATACTATTGTTGTTGATATATTTTATAACGATCACAACTACAATTATAGCCGGCCCACTAAACGGCTGAATTTAAATTAAAACTGCAGTAAAGTTAGAAAATAATCGCAAATTAGCGAAATATATTGCAAATGTAGCTTATATTAAATCGCCATCAGATTGCACTATCGACTGACGTATAGTTATAAAGTATACTTAATATATATATACTTTATAATTATACGTCACTGTTTGTTGATAAATACGGCAAGCGCCATGTAAAGCTCATTGTAGTCACTGAAACCTCTGCGGAGGAGAGAGCAATCGGGTGGCGATTTAATATAAGCTACATTTGCAATATATTTCGCTAATTTGTGATTATTTTTGTTAATTTTATAAGTTCATTGCAGTTTTAATTTAAATTCAGCCGTTTAGTGGGCGCCTATGCTATAATTAGATTGTTGTTGTCGTTGTGTGAAATTTAAATTTCTCCTGCGACATTTTGATTGGATACTAAATATAAACTTTGCTGTGGGCGGAAAGCGATCAGGTTAAGTTTTGTGTCAGGCTCTATTTGTAAAATAGAGCCTGATACTCAGGTTAGCTTTTTTTCAGGGATTTGTAGGGCCATTAAACGGCCCCAAAAACTCAATCTTGAATTGAGTTTTGAAACTCAATCTTCTCACCAAAGTTTCAGTGCAGTAAAAATGAAGTTGTTTGAGTTAAATTCGTGATGTGTGGAAATTAGTTTTCAGTTGGAAACCCGACAATTAAGAAAAAATGGCTGGAATTCATCTCACAACACAAGAAAAACTATGCATTCGCCATCTTTAACCAGTTTATAGTGTCCCTCAATGCCCCTGCTTTAACACATTCCGTCTCAACTACATTTGTTGAGTACAAGTGTCAGCCCCCCGGTAGGGGGGGGGGGGTTGCAACCACCACAGCTGTTCAGCTAAACTCAATCTTCTCTGCAAAAACGGATCCAAGAGAAAATCCTGAAAAAAACCCTGTTATATGTACTACAAGAAATGGCCCAAGGCATCAAAACAGGGGACAGCCAAAGAATCACCCATGGAGCTACAGTTATAATAATACTCTATCACATATTGTAACTTGATTGTACAGTTACAATTATTAATTTGATAATTATTCTTTGACCAAGTTTAATTAAAATAATACAAAATTAATCATGATTTTGAATCTTTAATTTACAAACATGTTGCAGCTTGGTACTGAGTTTCATTAACAGTTAAACAACAGTGGCATAGACTCATGCATTGTTGGAAAATTCTGCATCTCTATTGTTTTGACACTATTTTCATGACCAATTTTGTTGTTTTGACTTCATTTTGACCAAGTCAGTCAGGTTAGTAACTATCTTGTCTAACATTTAGAGATCTTGTCTTGTTCAAGTGAGATCTCAAACTGAGCCAGGTTATCCATGCAAATTGAAAGGAATTTCCACTATAAAAATATTAAAATAACCACACAGTAAAGTCTGGCTTACTGCAATATGGCAAAACTAGAGACTCACAATTAACTTAATATTTGAGGGATGGGGCAAACAAACTAATGGCCTTTTAAAGACACATACAACAAACTATCATACAAATAATACAATACAATACAATCAGAGAGCACATATTAAAACTACAATGTACAATTCTGGATATAAAACATGCCTTCTCACTTCAGCTGGCCCTACTAGGCAGCTGAGCTTTTTCCTGCATCAGTTCACCACAAGCTCATGCATAACAAAACATTTGGCTAAATATATAAAACCTTAATTTCCTCTTTAATACACCAAAACATCATAGTTTCATCATACATGTACTGTTGCATGTGCAACTCGATATTGCGAGGGATGAAATTATTGCATAAACTTAATACAGTAAATACAAAAAGGTTTATCTACAACCACATTATAAACACTTGTGGCTTATTTTCTAAAAAAATAGAGAGTACATTTTACCATTTATTCCTAACATTTTTTCATGAAATACTAAAATAAAAATGTGAATTTTAAAATGTTTACCTGTTTATAGTTGACTGCATGTTTATAGACTGCTGTTTATAGCCCGGCTTGAAATATCGTTTTTGTCCACATTTTGTCCTCGTTTTTGTCCATAGTTGTTTGTTGTCTTTCACGGACGGAGAATAACGTGTACGACTTTCACATCCTTGAACAAATGGTCAAACGTCGAAAAAATATGTCGAAAATAACAAAACAACAAGAATTCACTGCAAAAATCCGAAATATTTTTTCAGAAACCAGGGGGGGTGAAAACTGTGGCGGGCTCACAATTGAGCCTTGTTCAGTGGCAATTACCATGAATTTAGGGACCAGTAGTCATGGAAATGGCGTCATTTTCACTCAAAATCCGCCATGTTTTTGGCTTCACTTGGTTGACTGAACGAAGTATAGGAGCAGGTCCTCCAGTTATTATACAGCTCAGTGCTCCTTCCCAACAAAACAAAAAGCGTAACTATAGCAACCTTGGTATCAAAATTATCCTCACAAACCCCCCTTTTGACCCTGATAGGTCTCGCATTACCCGCAAACAACCGCAATTGTTCAAAGGTCAAGACAAATTGCGCAATTTTGGAAGTCATATTAGTCACCAGTCTTCTGGAATTTTTCGCACAGACTTAAAGAAAATTTGTCACACTTTTAATTGGCGCTTTGGCGTGCATTTTTGTCAAGCGTGTATTGAATTTGGTTTTTGCGAGATATGAAAAATTTTCAAGCCCTTAGTTTGTGTGATCAGTCTTCGGCTTCGGTTGATAACACATAATTTGGCCTTGATATTTCATATCACGCTCACCTCGTTCAATAATTGTTAATTATCATTTACTTATTAATTTTCTCGACGGCGTTGATTGGCTAATTTTCCTACAAATAACTGGTGAGAATAATACGTCAGCTGCAAATAACTGGTGCAAATAATTAATGGTCTGAGCATACGCATTTTTGAAATCAATTCTCAATTGCAAAACATCGATTTACGCATGCGCATTTAAGATAATAATAATTGCTGCGGAGCGAGCGAGCCTGAAGCGAGCGAGCGTAGCAGCAACCTAATATGTGCAGAGAGGGGGTTTTGAACTAAATTTTATTTAGCGCATGGAATTGTGCGCAGAACACAAATTTTAAACTCGCTCGAGTCTTCGAATTTTTATTTCTAAAGCTTTTTCATGTCTAATGTTACGCTTACATTTGTTTTGGACTTTGGCCACCGTCAGTTCAATATTTTTATAAAGTTTTGGTTTCTTAGTGTGATAAATCTGTGTATATAGTTTATATAATGTGGTAAATGCGCCTACATACTTGATATAAAATCTGATCTTAATTTACCTGTATGTCATTGAGACGCACATGTTTAATATCTGTCACATCTGATTGCCCTTTAACCCCTGGTCTTTGCTACTACAATATATATTGCTTCTTCTCAGTTCCATTCACAGCTCACTAGTCGCTGCGAGTAATTACTGTGCTTGATATAATTTGTGCTATTTACTGTAGTTCTATTTGCTTTTAATGCCCGCAGCAATCCCTACCTTGCAGGTACCCTAGTAAATAATGAAATAATTTTCATACGCACAAAATTAGTATCAGTACCGTACATCTGCTATAACTCTAGGGTATCCAGCGTGTGCCCAGAGTAATTTAATTTAATTTAATAATTTCGTCACCTTTATATAGATATATACAAAAAATGTATACTAGCAAACAAGCAACACTAACACAACATTCTTACAAGATAACACACTAAACATAGACGTGACTGGAGAAAAGAACAGGACTTGCGTCCCAATTGACACTTTACCCCTATCAATACTATATGAGTATGCTTATATGAGTATGCTTATCGTACAATACTATATGAGTAATACTTATCTTTCAATACTTATCTTTCAATACTATATGAGTATGCTTATCGTATAAACCATCGGTCCGCGATACGCACAAAATTCTTAAGCATGCTTAAAAAATGTTTCTGTCTCGCCGGGCCTCGCCGTATGCCACCGTATGCAACCGTGCTTGAAACGTATACAACCTATGCCTAACGTTCCCTTGTCAGCGTATACCAGCGTATGAGTGATATTTTTCATATGCTGGCATACGCTAGCACGATATGCAATAGTGTGACGGCCGGGGCCTTTGAGATATAGGCGAGCGGCACTAACTGTAGAGCAATGTCAGGTTAATATTATGGAAATTTAATCCATAACTAATTTACTTTCATGTGAACGTTATGTCTTCGAACAATAAAGATCGAGTCCAGAACGACTGGATTGGGAAATATAAGCCCCATACGCGGCTAAAGGCCCTAGCTGTCACACTATTGCGTATGAGAGAAACGTATGAGAAGCGTATGAAAATTAATGAAATAATTTCTATACGCACAAAAATCCTTTGAAATGCCAGCGTATGAGTACCGTACATCTGGCGAACCTCTAGTGTATTCAGCGTGTGCCTAGAGTATGCTTATCGTATAAAGCATACGTTTGATACGCACAAAATTTTTGAACATTCTTAAAAAAAAATTCTGCCTCGCCGTATGCCGCCGTATGCGACCGTGCTTGAAACGTATACAAGCTATGCTTAAAGTACCCCTAGCGTATGTCAGCGTATACCGGCGTACGAGTGATATTTTTCATATGCTGGCA